ACAACTTTATATTTTATTTTTTTATATAAAACTTAGTAATTTATCTTTTGTTAAACTTCTATTTTTAATATTATTATTTATTTATTTATTGTATATATTATGTGTTTTATCTAAATTTGATTTATTTCTCTAACCTAAATTTTAATAAATGCATTTCATTTTTGCCGGTGTAAATATATAATTTCTTTTTTTGTTTTTTTCAGAAATTTCAATATTGAAAGTAATAGAATTATTATTCAAATTTTCTAAATTATTTTCATTGTTTTATAAACTATGTTATTATTTTAATGTTTCGTTAGAATTTTCCTTTTTTTTTTAGTTTTGGAATAATTCAATATCTATATCACTTAATTTAAATATAGAATCTTAATAATTTATAGGACTTTAACTAAATGACCTTAGTTTTTGAGAATATTATTTATTAGAAAATAATAATTAGTCATTACTTTTTTAATTTGTGTTTAAAAAGTTTTATTATAGAGGAGATTATACTAACTATTTTTAATTTATTTATATAAAATAATATATTAATTTATTACATTATTTTATATTTATATTTATTATTTTATTTAATAATTTTCATTTTCAAGTTCTTTGTTTTTTTATTCAAGATTTCTTATTATATTTACTAATTATTAAATAATTATAGATTAGTTATTTTGATGAATTTAGAATACTTCTAAATGTTAATTTGCTCTTTCCTTTTATTTATATTTATAATATAAATTATAAAATATTATAAATTAAATTACATATATAGATTAAGAATGTTTTTTCTTATAAAAAGAATTATTATTAAAATAATTATTTTATATAGATGTTTTCATTTTGTGAGAATTATATTTTTCAAATAGATTTTATATATTTTTTTGAGATTTTTTTTTAAAAAAAATAATATAAATTATTTGGTGTAATTAATATTTTGATTTTAATATAGTTAAATTAGTTATAAAGACATTTTTTGGTGCATTTGTAAAATTTGAATTTTAAATTATGAATTATAATTTTTTTTATATACACAAAAAAATTTTAATAAAATATTTTGTTCAAAAATTAAATATAACTTTTATAATAAATATATAAAAGTAAAAATATTTTATATAATTTTTATTTTTTTTTAAAAAAAAAAAAAAATATTTTATAAATTATTTATTTAATTTTTTTGTTTTATTCAAACTTTATATTAATTTTTTGTTCTTTTAAAATAAATTTAATAAAAATTATTTTCAGAAAAATTTTTACCAATTTATAAAGTTAGTTTAAAATAAAAAGGCTATAAAAAATATATTTTTTTTATTTTTTTTAAAAAAAAAAAGTAATAATTAATATATTTATATATATATTATATATATATAATAAATATATTATAATTACAAAAAAAAAAAACAAAAGCTTAAAAATAAATGCTTAATTTGTAAAATTACAAAAAACAAAAAATATAATATTTACAAAAAAATAAAAAAAGAAAAAAGAAGCTTCCACCATTAAATAATAATTAATAAGAAAGTTAATCTAATTTAACTAATTAAAATTAAAACCAATTTTGGAATGAAAATTAAAATTAAGTTTCCAAAAATAATATCGAACGTAAACCTTTACAAGTAATTTCCCAAAGCTAATTTAATTAAGATTAATAAAACAGTCAAATCAAAACTCCTTTATCTTAAATAAGAAATGCATCTGAATTAAAAGATAAAGACAATTAAAAAGCCAATAACAAAGAAAAAAAAGTCAAAAAAGAAAAAAGAACTGCCGTAAAAAGAAATATTTCAAATAATAGAATTACTTAATTTCCAGAAATAACTTAAGAAGAAAGAGTATAAGAAGATTTTAATATTGATTTTAAAGAAGAATAATTTAATTATTTAATAAAAGAATTACCCGTATAAGAACATACATATTTAGAAAGTATTTTTTGCTATTTTTTTTTTTATAAAAAAAAAAAAATTAGATTTAAAAACTGGAAAATTTATAAATATAACAAGTAAGTTTATGAATAAAATTTTATAAGAAAAAAATTAAAATGAATAATAACATACATTTGAAAATTAAGATGCTTAAATGTATAAATTAATAGATGAATTTAATTCAATTATTTATAAATTATTAATTTTTATTTAAGGATTAGTTGTCGGTAATACACACACACATATATATATATATATATATATATATATATATATATATATATATATATATATTTATATAAAGATATCTATTTTTTAAAATAAAAGGATTAGTTATTATGCATACTTATTCACTTTATTTTGATGAAAATGAGTAAAATCTATTAAAAACTTATGGAAATAGTGCTTTAAGAATTAATTAAATTATTTAAATTTTTTCTTTAATTAATTATTTTGGATAACTTTATGTTCATAAAATTAATTATAATAGATGTAAATTTTTATTGACATTTTAGTTTATAATTTATATATATATATATAGTTTAGTATAGCAAAAGAAATGGACTTCCGAGTGTAAATTAAGACAAATCAGATACAAATAGATCCTTATTTAATATTTTCAGTATTTTTATTATTATTTTTAAAATTTGATTTTTCAAAAAGTTTATGCTATAATATTTTATATATGGATATACAATCATGAATTTGTATCTATATTATCTTTATATGTGTATTATTTTTTATATTATTTTTTAATTAAACTTAATATTTATATTAAATATTTATTTATATAGAAAAAACGAATTTGACTTCTTTTAAAGGTATTTTTTTAATTAATAATTTTATATTTTAAATAAAAAAAAGTAAGTTTAGTTCTAGATACAAAATATATTAAGGAATAAATATTGCTGCAGCAATTCTTTCTTTGATCGGCTGGATTAATTCAATAAATGGTTAAAAAACAAATTATTCTTAAATAGTATATGATAATAGGTAAATATATATATAAATATAATATATATATATATATATATATATATATATATATATATATATATTTCATAATTAAAAATTTTAAAATTAAAGTGAAGATACAAAAATAAGTGAAAATTCTGATGATGAGCTTTGAAAATAAAATAATATTTAAAAATAAATACATATATATATAAATTAAATAATTTTTCTTTGATTAATTAAATTAATTTTTTTTAATAAATTTTTCTCAAATTTAATATATAATATATTTAAAATATTAATTTTATTTAATAGATATTAATTATATTACTTTTTTTCAAATAATTAATTTTACAATAATTAGTTAAAATGTACATAAATAATATTTTATTTATAATTATATTTTTTTATATATATAAACAATTCTTCTTTATTTACTTAATATTCTATTCACTATATATTCACGTTTAATATAATAAATTCTATTTGAAAAAGTTCTTATTAAAAAACTTTTTTTCTTTATCTTAAAATGCAAAATACTTAAATATTTTCATTAATAACATAATTAATTATTTACTTTTAAGTAATAATCCTTTATAATTTTATATAAATATATTGTAATTCTTTTTAAAACAATATGTTTCAATTTATAATACTACAATTCGTAAATTTTACAAAAAAGCATTTCTTCTTGGATTATTTATTCTAGTCTTTTATTTTTTATATTCTTCATTCCCTTTTATATTTTAAAATTATTACTTTGATTTATTTAGTATTTAATCATATTATTAAATATCTAATGTATATATAGTAGTCTACCTGTTTTTCTTTTAAATTTATATTAAAAAGATATTATTGCCATTATTCAGTGTATATTCTATATTAATTATATAATTTATAATTTTTATTTGCTCTAACATTTTATTGGATTTCAATGCTTTTGAAATAATAATATTATTTTATTTTTTCTTTTAAAAAAAGTAATGATAATACACACTTTTTAATATAAAATAACATTTTTAATTATTTTCAGGAATTTTAATGTGTTTTTTTATAATGAAAATACTTTAAAATAAATCATTTTTTTATTTATTATTTTAAATAATTCATAAAACCCTCTTATTTTTAGAATAATTTGAATTTATAATTCCTATTTATTTTTTTATATTTTTTTATGTTTTTTTATTTATTTTCTTCTACCTATTTTATTGTTATTTTTATAACTTTTATTACTTAATCTTTAATACTAAAAAATATATTTTAGGCATTTTTATTGAATTTATTTTATATATCCGCAGTGTTTTTAAAATAATAAAAAGATCTAACTCATTAATTTTATTAATAGGGTATATTTGTTTTGATAAATAATATTTGTTTTAGTATTTTGAACATATTTTATTCTGATTTTTTTTTTTACACTAATATTGGAAATATTAACGTTTGAATTCGAATCTTTATTTTACTACCACCATATTTAAAGAATGTTAATATATTAATTTTATTATTAAGTTTTATTTTTTTTAAATATTGGATGAATAAAACTACATAAACCATAAAATTTTATTTATTTATTTAAATTATAATTATAATTTTGATTTTATTTATTTTATAAGACTAATAAATAGAATATATGTATAATAATAAACTAATTGGTAAAACTAATATATTAAAATATTTAAAACTAATTATTACAATTAATTATAAAAATTAATCTTATGCACATAATTGACTAAAGTTTAATGAAATTCTTAAAATTTTTAATAAGACTATTAAATTAAATATAACTTACAAAAAATAATATTAATTTTTTGCATAATTAATTCTAAATATATATTAAAGAATAAATTTTTTATAAAAAAAATAAAAAATTTAAAAAAAAAAAAAAATAAAAAAAAATATTTAAATTTTTTTTTTTTTAAAAAAATAAATAAATAAATAAAAGATAAATAAAATAAAAAATAAAAAGTATGAAAAAAGAAGTATAATTCCACCGTTCAAATTCCGCAAAAATTCCACAATAAATACTTCCCATATAACCCATTTAATTTTAAACAAACGACCCTAAATTAAATTCATTCCAATTAAATCGCACTATAAACACTATAAACCAAAAAACATATTCTCGCTAAATGAGTGCATATGGCAAATCAACAATGCATAAAACACTTCCTTAAATAAACTTAACAACTTTAAAAAATATAAGCAATGGCGAATAAATATAAGTAATTCCTTCCGAAGTAGTATTTAATGATATAAAAGTTAATTAATAATACGAAACCACTGTAATAGTAAAAAATCTATGCAAAGTTCCCAAGAGGATCAAAATTATATAACCTAAAACAAAAAAATTTCGGGTTGATTATGACACTTAAGGTTCTATAGCAGCCGGATTATCCCTTAAACTGCAAGTTTATTTCTTTTCAAATGTCGTAGAGGATTAAAATGACATAATGGTAATATAATATGAGACTGAAGATAAAAAATAGGAATTTTAAGTACACTTACATGCCTTATTCCCTCAAGCAAATATCGTTTTTGAGCCTTTTATAAACATTGAGTGTGTAAAAACAGACCATGCTGTAGTAAAAAAAATCTAATTTAAAAATGTAGGAAAAACAGGAGGAAAAGTAAGGCTTAAATACGATTATATTAACGAAATTACATGCGATCCTAGTAATTTTGCGATTTTACCAGATTAAGAAGTGGAAGTAAAAATGATATTCAAAAGTAGAAGCAATGGAGTTTTTAGGGGAAAAATAGAAGTTGTTTAAGAAGGAAATAATGTTTAAAGATTTATAGAAGTTAATGCAACTTCTGTTGAGTTTTCGAAGTTTTTTATAGATGATTAAGGAAGCAATTCGACATCTTTTGATTTCGGAGAAATGTTCTTCGGGGAAAAAAAAACAATAAAAGTATTCTTAGTTAATAATACACCAAATAATTCAAATTTTAAAGTTAAAATGAGAATCGGGTATCATACAGTAGCTGTATTTAAAATTTTATAATATAAATATATATATATAAATATATATAAATTTATATAATATATATATATATATAACTATAATATTATAAAAAAATAAAATAAAGAATGAAAAAGTATAATTATAAACACCTATGGAAGTTGGATTAGAATAAACGGAATAAATAATAAGATGTGTACCTGATAAAGGGTTTATTAAAGCATATTCTTAAGTATTATAAATTAAATAGTTAATTTATAAATATATAAATATATAAATATATAAATATATAAATATATAAATATTTTTGTATCTATTAATATATATATATGTTTATATTTTAATTTTATATAGTTTCCTATATAATTTATATGCAAAAGTAAAGTAAGATATGAGCATTTAATTATAACAAAAAATATTGCATTATCAGGTGAATTACAAAGAAAAAAAGAAGAAGAAGAAGAATTTACGTATACTGCTATTTTTGATATGTTTTCAACTGAATTAAAAATAAACGAAGAACCTATTTTTATTTCTTTAATTGGAAGAGGAATATGTCCGCGTATAAGAATAAGTAAATAAATTTTAGATTTTTAGGATTGCCAAGTAAATGATCATAGAGAAGATACTTTTACAATCGAAAATAAAAATTCAATTGCATCTATATAAATTAATATTCCCAGAATACCTTAATGTAATGTAGAGCCCTATTTTATCAATTTAGATCCAGGAATGAAAAGTTCGTTTATAGCTTCTTATATGCCAAATACAGTTGGAAAATATAAATAAAAATTATTTGTTAGTCTTGTAAACGGATAATATTAAATTCCTATATAATTATTCGGAAATGCACTTGATTTAACTACAAAAATGTATATATATTAAATATATATATATATATATATATATATATATATATATATATATATATATATATATATATATATATATATATATATTTTTTATAGGCGTAGAACAAGAGGCCCTGAAAGTTAACCTAACGATTTTTAATTAGAAAAAAAATTTGTAAACGAAAACTCAAATTAAAGATTGTTTTAATTATTAGATTTTAACGATTTTCAGAATCGAGTAGATATACCTAAAGGTATAGATAATTAAGAGACTAATATAGAAAATCTTTTATAATTAAAATCTATGAAAGAAAATAAATAAAAATATGTAAATATGATTAGAGAATAAAGAAGTTAAAGATCTTTAAAACAAAAAGATAAACTTGTTCAATAAAGATTTACTTAAATGGAATTAAAATTAAAAGAAAAAGGGCTTCATTTCTAAAGAAGTGAAAATGATGAAATGGAAGAAAAGGGTTTTAATTTTTTTTAATTTATTATATCTTATATTAAAAAAATAAAAAAAGACTTTAGAAAAACTTGTCCTGTAGATATTGAATATGAACTAGGAATGGTTGATACTAAATTAAAAGTCACAAATGATTTAATTCCATTTACTAAAGATTCTCTTTTTGTATTAAAGCCTATTGGTATTTACGAACCTTAAAAAGAAGAATAAGGTAAATTATTTAATCCTGATCCTAACATACCTGTTAGAAAGTAACTTACAAAAAAAAAAAAACTATATAAATATATGACATTTTTTTAGATATTTTAATGAAAAAGCTTTAACTCATAAAGAAATTAGAGACGTCTAAACAGAGCTAACAGGTGAAATGCTACAAAAAATAAATATTCATCCCCGAGTATTAGATTTCGGTGAAATTTATGTCTAAAGTTAAGTTTCGAAAACATTTTGTATTAAAAACGATTTAAGAATTTTTATTAAAGTGTAACTATTTACAAATGCACCTGAATTATCTGGTACATATAAAAAAGCTTAAATAATTCCATGTAGTGAAATGGCAAGATTTGAAATAAAACTTCAAAGTAATGTTTTAAATGATAATTTTTTATAAAACGTAAAATTCATAATTAATGATAGACATGAATTCGAATTTTAAGTCAAAGCCAAAATATAAAAAGTGAAACTAGAATTATCTAAACAAATTGTAAAATTCTAATTTTCAGAAGAAAGTACAAATATGTAAGCAATAGAAACTCTCAAAATAACAAATTCAGGTAATTCTGAAGGAGAATTCAAATGGGATAATTAGAGTAAAATTTTCGAAGTTCATCCTAAATAAGGAATAGTACCATCAGGAGGTTCTATTGATATAACTATTACATATAGGTTTTTAAATATTTTTTTTGATTAAAAAAAATTAATTATAAAATTATATAAAACATTATTTATAATAAAAATTAAAATAATTAAATTATTTAAATATTAATATATAAAAACAATTATGTATATAAATTAAAATATATATATAATATTATATTTTTTAAATATATAAATATAATTTCAAATTTATAAATATTTAATTATATATATTAATAAAAATATAATATATAAATAAATAAATATATAGATTAAAATATATTAATATATATTATTATATATATATTAATTTATATTAATTT